TATATTTATTATATTTTTCTTATATTTAAATTACTGAAAGAACCAAGAATACGTTTACATTATAGACTGCCAGTTCGCTCACTCAGGTTAAGAACCAGGCTACAGTCTACATTATAGACTGCCAGTACACTTACTCAGTTTAATAATCATTGCTACAGTCTACATCATAGACTGCCAATACGCTCACCAGCTTGTTTTTGTTGTTTATTATTTTTATTCACATTATTCATTTTTTTTATCTACGTGAATTTACCGAAAGAACCAAAGAATATGAATTCCTGCAGTCACGAAAGTTTTAAGTAAAAATTTAACACCAAAAAAATATTAAATACTCCCAAATACAACTGTCAGCAGTAGCAGAACACACGTGCCAACAAGGACACTCAAGTTCTGTGCAAAACTTGTTACTACTGGCCAAGACTAATTACATAATCTATAGAAATTGATAAAGATAAAAAAAATAATTGTAACCATTCGAATAGGTACAGACTTAGTGCTGCTTGGAAGCGAATCATCAAATAACACATTGTTAAAATGTATGCCTATACAGGCCACCATACTTCAACCATTGAACCTCTGTCGTCCCGACAGTTCTGTTCTTTCACCTGAAGAAGGCTACTTGTGTTGTGGCCGAAACGTCGTGGGAATCTTATTTTATTCTCATTCTACGTGACTTTACCGAAAGAACCAAAGAAGAGGGATTACCGTTGGTATGGCTATTTTAATACACATGTAGTGGCATCGGTGGGTGTCACTACATGTCGTGTGAAGCCGGCCTGCGTGAGGCACGACACACGCCACTCACACCATCTACAGCACTGCAGTGGGAATGTAGTACCGGCCCTAGCGGGGGTCAGCCGGGATCGCCAATCGAGGATGGCACTGCACGTGGAGTGAACGGGTCCAGCCTCTGGAGGTTAGGGGGCGAGAGTGCCAGGGATAGTGCAGGGGTTCACAGGGGGCCATGGCACTCTGTATGAACCCGGAGGCCTGGTGACCGGAGGCACCGGCCGAGGGGCCCCAAAAGAGGGGGCTGGGGGACCACGGGACCAGGACCAGTTCCCTCTCGAAGGCTCGAGAAGGGGGGCGTGGCTAGGGGCGGAGTAAGCCCCGGGACTGATCATAAAAGCCGGACCCCTCAACGGGTCCGGCTGCTGTTGTACACCTGAAGACCTGAAGCCCTGAAGAGAAGCCCCGAAGATAAGACCCGGACCCGAATCGGGGTTCAGTCTCTCGTTAGCCTCTCCAGTTGTGTTAGGGCCTCGTTAGCCCAAAGGGACTACCTCCTTCGGTTACCTGGTGGAAGGGGCAGATACCTCTTTGTGTTAGGGCTTTTGTTATCATAAATGTGTTGCCTCCATAGAAGTATATCTCTCTCTCCATTTGTACCCACTACACACACAATGGATAGGAAGTACAAGATCAATGAGCTCGCATAATGTACGTTGATTCATTAATTCCCCCCCCCCCCCCCCCACTTTTCACAAGAAGAGTGCACAAGTGTTGTCATCACATCTACTCCTCTATATAAGGAACGAAACACAGGTGGACTTCTCCACAAATCTGGCTGTCGCCTGATGAAGCTAGTTGTAATTACTGGCGAAACGTCGTACTCGGATTGTAAATATTGTGGCTTGGCTCTCCAACACACCGGTGTGCTGTACTCGTAACGAATTGGCACGTTCTGTTTATGTGACAACCCTTACTAATTGTCTGTGTCGGGTGATGGCTGGTTTGATGACTGGTTTGATGACAAAACCACGATTTTAATGTGGGTTATTCTAGCTCCGAGGACTAAAATAAAATTAAGTTTAATTACAACATGACAAACACCTCTCTCTACAATAGGACATGATAATAATACAATTTGTAACGCAGGCAATGTTGTGGACAGAAGACACACTTCTGAGGTGCAGAGCCAAGCTTAGTGTCAAATTGCATCGCGCGTCCAGTGAGACTCAGTTAAATTTAGAGCTGAAGAGATGCACCTTTAGATGTTTTTTTTTTAACAAAGAAAATGATTGATCGTTACAGATGTGAATATGGATGGCATTCCAGATAACGGGGGCTGCGACACAGAAACGACGATAAGCTATTACAGTCCTTGTCCTGGGAGTTTCAAGGAGGTTCTGCCTTGGAACTACTAAGGTTTCTACGATTCATTGAAGTGTAAGGCGTGAGCAGAGAAGTTAGGTACAGTGGGTAGGCGGAGTTTACGGCACGGTAGCAGAGGCAAGCGTTCTTAAAGGTATTTCTGGTCGAAATGGGAAGCCAATGAAGGGCTAGCAGGATGGACAGGGAGTCAAGGCAAGGGTTGCAGAGGACCTAGACATCTCGGGCAATGTGATTTTGGAGGCAATAGTCGAGCCATGACCCAACGATGCTGCAGGTGAGAATATATGTGATTTTGGAGGTGATGAGCGGACGTAGATGGTGTCGGGTCCTGAGATGGTAGTTGCAGGACTTGAGAACAGAGGTTGATATGATTTTCGATGGGCAGAGAGTGGGATCCAGAGTGACGCCGGGAAATGTCAGATGGTCAGAGAACTGAATTAAGGAACAAGCGATTGAGATTACCGAGGGGAGTGAGAGTGAAGCCAGTCTTTTCCTAGTGCCAATTAAGATGGCCTCGGATTTGGTAGACTTTAGGGAGATGGCATGATATTGAAACCAGTGCTGTAATGCGGTTGAGCAAGCAGAAAGATGGTCGATGCCCGAGATGTTTGGAGGCGATGAGAAGAGTGTCGTCAGCGTAGCAGTGGTAGCAGATATTGAAGCTGTCGATCAGTCAGCCAATGGGAGGTGAATAGGCGGAAAATAGCAGGTGTCCAAGACTGAGTCCTGAGATACTTAGCATGTCAACAGAATTTCGTCAGATGAAGTAGCTCCCACTTTGATGGTGAAACACCTGCTGGAGAGAAATTAGGAAATCCAGTTTAGTGCCGTTCTCCTGATCCTGAAGTCGGACTCGAGGAGATTGATTCGGCGTTTGTGGTTCAAGGTGTCAAAGGCTGAGGAAATGTCAAGGTTTACGAGTAAAGCAATGGAACCGGAATCGATAACGCTGAGGATGTCGTCCAGGATTCTATTCAGATTGTTCTTTGTTGAATAATACTTACGATAAGCCGATTGAAAGGGGCAGAAATTCTGTAAGGATGTGATTTGAGGCTTGAGTTGGGTGAGGGCGAGACGCTCGAGAAGTTTAGAGGTAGCAGTGAGGTTGTTGATCGGACAATAGTTAAGATGGGTTAGCAGAGTCCAAGTCAGGTTTTTTGAGCAGCGGGGAAACCTGGCCGACCTTTAAGGTAGGCGGAAAACAACCAATGAAAATTTAGGCATTGGCAATGTTGGTAATAATGGTTGCAAGTTCCACGGCGCAGCAGCCGAACAGATGGGCAATGAGAGTATCCAGAAGGGATGTCTTAATTTGAAGTGAACGGATTAGGGCCAATACATATTTTGAAGAAACTGGTGCGAATGACATTCTTGGTTCTTTCGGTAAAGTCACGTAGAACTTTCGTGACTGCAGGAATTCATATTCTTTGGTTCTTTCGGTAAAGTCACGTAGATAGAAAAATAATAATAAAGTGAATAAAAATAAAATAGAAATAAAAACCACGACGTTTCGATCGCAACGACCGCTTGTGTTGTGTTCGAAACGTCGTGGTTTTTATTTTTTATTATTTCTATTTTTATTCACTTTATTATTATTTCTCTATCTGTGTGACTTTACAGAAAGAACCAAAGAATATGGTGTGAATAAGGACAAGAAAATAGTTTGGTGAGTGGAGGGCAGGGTAATGATGACGTATGAATGGTGATTGGTTAGGGATGACTTGATGGAGTCCGCAATAGTGGCGAGCTTGTTAGTGAAGTTAAGGCTGAACGAAGCTGCAAGGTTCATTGACGCCAGCTGGTCATTATTGTAAAACGATTATCCTGCGTGGAACAGAGCCTTGAGGACTTTCCATGGTATCCGAGGGTTGCGAGAGATGGTTTGGATTCGTTCGGAGATGTACACAGAGCATGAGATGAGAATTAGTGCGTTAGCTGTCTCGTAACGCAGCACAGTAAAGAGTCCGGTCAATAGTTCATCCGCTATGTGCAATAGTCCTTTTGAGCCTCCTTCTCATTTGCTTGGGCAGGATAACAAAAATCACGTGAAGGTTATCGAGTGTTTTGAGATTTTAGGGGTGCGATCTTGTTGAGCATAGCCATAAGATCAATATGAACTGCTCAGCACAGATAATGGGGTCGAGTGATGGTGAGAGGATGGAAGGAAAGTTTGCGATGAGATTTCGAAGAGTGGTGAAATTGGTGTGACTGAAATTACGTGAAAGACGGGTGATCTTGGGGGTGAGTGGCCGGGGAGACTTAATGGAGGTGATGATGAGGCTATGGTCGGAGTAGAAACTTGGAAATTGACCGGAAGAAGAAATGCGATGATCAGAATCCAGCTTCATGATGAGGTCGAGCATGTTCTTGCTGCCAGTGGAAGAAACACGGTTAGGGCCGAGGTTGAGAACTTCCAAGTTATCAGAATTGAGAGTATCGGCAAGGTGACCATCAATGATTGATTGGGTCATGCCAGGGCAGTTGAAATCGCCGGTAAGCATGAACCCAGGGGATGAATGGGAAGGGAGTACATAGGTCCGATAAGAGGTGCAATAAATAGCACAGCTTAGAGGCAATCAAACTGAGCTCAACAGTAATTACATGACGAAATTTTCTGGTATTTAATATTATATGATGTACAGGCTCACGGTGGGAGTTCCATGTGTAAATTTCCTTGCCTCATGACATGATGCCAGGAGCACAATTTTGGAGTATAATTGGGAACAGACAAAATCAAACGTACATCATTTATAAACCATGGGTAGCTCATAAGCATGAGTTTTCCACGAAGCAGGATATGAATTTGACATTTTCCAACAGCAGCACCATCCAGCCAGTTAACACCCCACCACAGACTGGCAATCACAGTCATCCACACAACCCACCTGGAAGATTTCTGGGCGCAGGGTGGTGAGCCTGTTGTCGGAGATGTCGATCATCTTCAGCGTGTCCTCCAGGCCAGCGAAGACTCCGGCGGGTAGTGTCTCGAACAGATTCCCACTCAGGTTGAGCTCCTTGAGCCGCCGCATGCCCCTGAAGGCGCCAGGCCGCACGCACGTGATGTGGTTCGCGTCCAGGGCGAGGCGCGTGACGTCGGAGGGCAGGTCGCGGGGCACCTCGGTGAGGCGCGCGCCGCTGCAGCGCACGGCGAGCTCCCCCAATGGCTCGGCCGAGCACCGGCACGCCTTGGGGCAGAACGGCACGCCGGCCGAGGCGGAGCGGCTGCACGAGCACACTGCGGCGAGCACGCAGCAGCAGGCGTGGAGAAGCAAGCAGGGCGGCACGGCGGAGCGCAGGTACGCGCCGTAACCCGGGCCATAGTAGCCCCAGCCGTGGCCCATCGTCGAGCGGCCGCGGGTCGCGCAGAGTCACGCAACCCGCATGCACCAGGTCCGGCACGGGGGTGATCGTCCGCCCTGGCCGTGCGATCTAAAGGTTCCGCTTCTCCGCGATCGTCAGCGCCGCGTGCGTCTCCGGGTGTGCGTGTGCAGGTGCCGGGCAAGCGTCAGGGGCATGAGCTGCCTTGAGACAGCGTGGCAGGAGAGAGGCTCGAGTTGGCATGCTTCACGACACTCGTCCTGGCTTGCCAGTCTTGTTGCTTCTCGCGGCGATGTTGCAGGACCTGGCATGAGCGGGCGAGCAGAGAGCTGGGTGCCGCGTGGTAGGCGGTGTCGTGATTTGCCGTGCTTGCCGTGGTGTGCCCCAATGTTAATGTGCTCAGCGCTGGTACCGCCATCCGCCACGTCTCCCACCTCGCCACACATTACATAGCTTCAGCAGAAACAAGAAAAACACAACATCACGTTCTAGCAAACACTTCACAAAAATAGCTCTTGCAGATTAATAAAATACTTCAGGACTCATTATATTCACAAACCATTTTAACCCTGCATTAACGTGGCTTAAAACATTATTAAGACATGATCATTTGTAACTGTCATGGTTTGTATAATGCATGCCATGGCACAATCAGAATTACTGTATCAGACAATAGTGGTAACATCATAGCATTAGCTGTAACAAATTACGCACATCATCCCCCCAGGATAGATACAATGAGTGATATTCTGTGAGAGGATAACAGTCCACTAAGGATGTGAAGTATATCACTGGAACAGGACCATAAAAAAGACAAGTTGATTAAAGAGCTACTTTGACGTGTCAACATTCAAACCTTTAATGACAACTGTCTGTTAACTCAGGAAGATAGAAAAATAATATATTAACTTGTAATTGTTATATTCTTTGGTTCTTTCAGTATAGTCACGTAGATAGAAAAATAATAAAAAAATAAAGTTAATAAAAATAAAAAATAATAAAAATTAAATGAAAACAAAAACCACGATCTTTTGATCGCAACACAAGCGGTCGTCATCAGGAAAATGGGGGGTTAGCCTCTAAAGGCAAACTGTTTATAAAGTTTTAGAGATGGGAGTAGCCCAATTTTGTCAGCAGCATGGGTGGGGGAGCTAATGTTAATGTAGGCCAGTAGTGGGTCTCCACCAAAAGGGCCTCCAGGAAATCATTGCACCTCGCTCCACACACCCACTCTGCTGACGTTGGAGGTTGACAAGAAAACACAAAGTCATGACCCAAAGTGGTTGATGATATATTTTCAATGATTTCTGAGTTTATAACCATCTTCTCGGTTGAAATTGTGTCTGTGCCTGTATATATGGATTACTTCATGGACGAATCTTTGTTGATAGCCAGTAGGCTTGCAATGTACCATCGTCTTAGATAAATCAATTTCGTGTGAGCCAGCCGCATTAAAATTATGATCAGCCACAGCAGAAGTATTGGTCCTACCATGTTTCAAATCTGCCTTATGCTCACGAACAAAGTCTGAGACATGTCGCTTAGTTTCCCCAATGTAACTGCTGCCGCAGATACAGCTTAGTTTGTAGACGCCGGGATATAGCATGTCAGGAATCTTGTCCTTCACAGATGGGATCAGATCACGAATTGTATGTACTGTGTTAAATCGGACCTGGATCTTGTGTTTGTTCATGATTTTGGAAATATTTTTGGTTACCCCTGCTATGTATGGCAAGATAATGGTTTTGATGGGATCCTAAGATGGCTCTTTCCCAGTCCTCATAAAATTTGAGACTTCTCAAAAATAAGTCCGGTTATCTCAAAATCAAGTCAGTGGCGGTTTCAAAACTAACGAGGTTGCGCGAGGATGGCGAACAAGGGCAAAGGCAAGAGGTCAACGCCGTTCCAGAAGTCGCACGCCCTGGAATACGCGCTGGAGATCGTCTCGACGGAGGCCAATGGCAACGTGACCGTGCGGTGCAAGTTCTGCCTGCACGAGGGCCGCGACGTCGTGGAGGTCGGCGTGGCGGGGCGCGAGCGCAAACAGCGCAGCGACATCCAGTACTTCAGGAAGCCGTTCGCCGCGTTCAAGCATCGCAGCTACCACGAGGGGCAGCACGCGTCCTCGTGGACGAAGTACAAGGACCTGTCGGTCGAGGAGAAGAAGCACTACTTCGACGGGTGCGTCAAGCTCACCAACACGCTGCACCACCACGTGGACCTGGCCACCGACACGCTGCAGTTCTTCATCAATGCCGCCATTGTCGAAACGACAATTGTCAGCGACCTGTTCTTTCGCGACGACGAGCAGCTCGACGACATTGACGACGACCAGGGCGAGGAAAACGCAGCCGACGCGCTCCGCAAGAAGCTCGCCAAGAAGCAGAAGGAGAAGGCTAATGCGATGAAGCTGTTCATTCAGGAGGAGGACAAGGCCGTCTACACGGTGACGATCAAGGACGTGCTGCGGTTCGACCTTGCCATGGACTACATCGGCATCGGCATCGGCCTGTCGTTCCGGCAGACGGTGGCGGCCATCCAGAAGGCCAAGGACCGGACCAAGATGGCGAAGCTCACTGGCATCAACAACGGCATCGTCGGGCAGTACACGCACATCCTGGTCGCCGTCGCGCTGCAGGAGATCACGGTCATCCTCGATTGCGAGAGCGTTTGGGCCATGTCGTTGGCTGGCGACGGGAGCACGCATCGCGGCCAATCGTTCTTCGACCTGCGCGTGCGAGTCTGCTATCGCGGCGAGCTGGTCAACTTGCATCTCGTCGCGATTCCGATGTTCGAACGTCATTCCGCGGTCAACATCTTCAACATGATCGCCAAGTTCATGGACGCGCTCTACGTCAAGTGGCGCGCCAAGCTGATCGGCATGTCGTCGGACGGCGAGAACACCATGACGGGCCGTCATGGAGGCGTCGTCACCCGCATCGTCGCGTGCGCCGAGAACAACGTGCTGCGCATCTGTTGCGCGCCGTATCAGGACAACCTGATCATCAAGAAGAACGTCAAGTGCCCAAAGAACACGCCGCGATGGGTGCATCTCGGCTGCCTGCTGACGTTCTACAAGTCGTACCGTCGCCCGAACATGGAGTACAACAAGGACAAGCGCCCCGACATGCTGCCGACGGACCAGTGGTGGGTGAGCACGTACTCGGTGTCGCCCGCCATCGACTCGATCAACGTCACGCTCACCACAACCGTGAGGAAAGAGTCTTTCCTCACGTTTGGGGTGATGGTTTTGCGGATTGTGTAGTCAGAACATCCATTCACCTTGAGAGCTTGGTGTACGTGTTTCAGTTCACTCGTTCGGTGTTCATGGTCGGAGATACATTGAGCTCTATGGTGTAGCGTTTTGATGAGGGAAATCTTCTAAGATGGATGGTATCGGGAATCATGTTTTAGGTACGCATCATTATGCGTTACTTTCCTGTAGATATAATGGCTCATTGAGCCATCTGGTCTCTTTTTGATTAGGACATCCAAGAATTTGATGGCTGGGTGTATGAAATTGATGTGGTTGAGGAATTGGTTCAGAGCCAGTCGGCCATGTGGCCAGATGACGAACGTGCCATCCTCTTCCACAAGGACGTGCATAGAGTGGATGCCTGGATGGCATCCGTCTCAAAATTTTCCATGAAAATATTGGCTACAACCAGAGATAAGGGAGAACCCATGTGGGTGCCTTCAGTTTGTTTGTAGAATGTTCCATTCCAGGTGAAGTATGTATTGGTGAGGCAATGTCTCACCAGGGCCGGTACATCAGCATTCAATCCTTGTTGGACCAAATCTTCAATGATTGTAATGGTATCGGGCACAGAAACTTTGGTGAACAAATAAACTACATCAAAACTAACGAGCAAATCACCTTGGGACAGTGAAATGTCATTAATTGACGATACCAGGTGAGCTTAGTTAAGTACTGTACATAAGAGGTGATCTTACCAGTGAATGGCTGCAAGGTCTCAGACAGATATTGGGCCAGTTTGTCGGTGGGTGAGCCTGCTGTTCAGCACACCCGTGCTGGTGAGAGGGGCCTGCTGTTCAACACACCAGTCCTGGTGAGAGAGGCCTACTGTTCATCACACCCGTGCTGGTGAGAGGGGCCTGCTGTTCATCACACCCGTGTTGGTGAGAGGGGCCTGCTGTTCAACACACCCGTGCTGGTGAGAGGGGCCTGCTGTTCATCACACCCGTGCTGGTGAGAGGGGCCTGCTGTTCATCACACCCGTGTTGGTGAGAGAGGCCTACTGTTCATCACACCAGTGCAGGTGAGAGAGTCCTGCTGTTCAGCACACCCGTGCTTGTGAGAAGATGGCGCCGATGATGGTAGCCTCAGCCGGTCGATGCGCCCTGTTTTGTTTAGTTTTGTCTGTTAATTCAGTGTTTTGCCAATATTTTCGGAGTTCTCTAACAAGAGACGAACTTTTAAATATCAGGGAAACAACTCCTGTGGATTTAATTCCTACTTTTCTGCTTCCAGCAGCAGAATTAGTAGGCATGCTAGTCAATGCCGCGCTAGGCTTTGCTCAAGCAGCGAAACGCCACCCAAGGGGTAAACGGTCGGGGGCTCTTGTACGGCTACGCAGACGCGGGATACGAACAGTGCTTCCGAGCTTTTTCCTCTCAAACGTACATTCACTGTGCAACAAAATGGACGAACTTCAGCTACTGATGGTGAAAAACAGAGACTTTCTTTCATCTTCTGTTTTGGGCTTCACGGAGACATGGCTGTGTGATTTGATTCCGGACACTTCGCTACAACTAGCAGGATTCCATCTTGTAAGATCGGATCGTGACATAGCACTCTCCGGCAAGACGAAAGGCGGTGGTATTTGTTTTTACATTAACAGTGGCTGGTGTGTAGATATCACAGTGATTCTGCAACATTGTTCTCCACTCCTTGAATCAATTTTTATAACCTGTCAACCGTTTTACTTGCCTCGCGAGTTTGCGTCGCTCATTTTGGTCGGAGTTTATTTGCCGCCGTGTCCTCAGGTTAAAGAGGCCCAACGCATGCTCGCCGATCAGATTCTGAGTGTGGAGCAAGCAAATCCAGATTCGTTGGTTATCGCACTTGGCGACTTTAACAAAGGTAATCTCAGCCACGAACTCCCCAAATACATACAATTCATTAAATGCCCAACCAGAGAAGGGAACACTCTGGATCACTGCTACACTACAGTCAGTAGAGCCTACCACGCCATCCCCCGAGTAGCACTAGGACACTCTGACCATGCCATGGTCCACCTGATTCCTGCATACAGGCAGAAACTAAAACTCTGTAAACCTGCTGTGAGGACATCTAAACAGTGGACCAGTGAGGCTGTGGAAGATTTGCGGGCGTGCTTAGACTGTACTGACTGTGATATGTTCACGACTGCTACCAATAGTCTGGATGAACTCACAGAGGCTGTGACGTCCTACATCAGCTTCTGTGAGGA